CAGGTTTCTGAAGTTGACATAGACAAACCCCACATATGTGTACAATGCTCAAGCTCATTGGGTCATCTGGGTCATCCTCACATTTACACTGCAGTAAACCTTTTGTTTGTAGCACATTTTATAGCCTTATTCAACTATTATTTAGGTAGTTATGTCTGTAATATGTATTTCCAAACTGGACTATAAGTTCCAAGGGGCAGTGACTATGGCTGGCTTTCTCCTGTATTCCATTTGCTGTGAATCTGTCTACACTGGCTTGTAGCATGTGTGGGAACAGTGAATGATCAAGTTAGGAAAATATGCAAGGATTAGGAAATAAGGCAAAACAAGGATGTAGAGCCAGATTAGAAAAGACCTTAATTACCATATCAAAGAATTTATATTTTATCCTAGAGACAATGAAGAATCATGAGTTGTGGGTAAGCTGAGGTGATCTACACTGTGTTTTAAAGACTGCATCTGGCAGCAGGTTATATGGCTGACATGGTAGAGACGGGAAACCAAGAGACTATTGTAGTAGATTATCAGAATGACTGCACACACCTTCAATCCTCACCTGCACAGCCCCTAGGCAGTGTGACTTTGCTATTCTTCCTGTCTCAAACCTTTACATTTGAGTTTGACCACAGGAAGTCCATAGAATTTACTTCACAGGCTTTAAAGTTTACAGCGAGGTCATTCAGATAAATTGTCAGGTTAATTGTTGCCTTTCCCCAAAATATTCTTACTTTCAGAAACCTACTGTAAACACGACCATGCCATTTTCATCTGAATCTCATTCTTTAGAGCAAGTCCCATGCAGGTAACAGTATTTGATGATTATTTTATTCACCTCCATTGTCAAAGAGCTTCAGTAACTCTAAAATCATGTCGACTTTATGAAATTGAATCTAACCCTGGTTTTTGTAATACCTGTTTGTGAGTCTCTCATGGAAGTGCAATATCAATCTTGATAATATCTGATTCTTGTACTTACAGAACCTTGAGTACTTTCCATAAAACACACATATACTCCCTTATACCTAAACACACAGTAAGTCTCTGAAGGACACTGCTGCCTTAAAATGCTTCTGTATTTCTTTTCAATGGAGCATATAGAACACCTTTACCCCACACATTATAGGATTAATCTTTGAAAACGTCATCTTCTTCAAGCAGGTGCAAACACTTGTCTACCCTGAGGGAAAGACCGGCCAATGAAAGGTAATTCTTGTTAACTTACTCTCCTGCAGACATAATTGGGGAAGATGCTTTCCAGAGCATCTAACTTGCACTGAATTTAACTCTTTCTCACATGACTGATTTTAATCATAAGCCACCTCTAATACTTCATAAACACATTGCTTGGGACAGCTGTGAAATAGTTATGCAAAGTCATTAGACTACAGAATTTCTCCTAAGCGCTAGCATCTGTACCCCCTGGCATTTGCCAGTAGTAATCCCCTTCCTTTCTTGAGAAATCACTTACCCCCATATCCTAGTCCTTATGTAAAGAGTCAAAAAGTAAATATACTAATACTAGCCAGCAGTAAATAAATGTTTCCAGGGGTGGGCAAAGGTAGGGGTACAGCTGTGAAACACAGTTTATTCTTTTATTATTATTTATTATTCTATTATTTTCCATACAAACAATGGTAAATCTACTTTTGCCCACCCCTGTATTCCTTTCTCAGACATAGACTCTTATGAAAATGAAATCCAAAGGAAGAGACCTTATATGTTTTTCAATCAAATTTATCACTGTCTGCCTTTTAGAACTGTCTATAAATTTTGTTTTTACATCTCTTCACTTTCTTTCAAAGATAAAGTAGATCTGAAACAAGTATTTGAATAAGCAGGTGTGTTTACCGTGATATCATAAATTTCTGCCTAGTTAGTAGCCTGCAGGGCTCCGTCAGTGCTACTACATGCTGATGAATGTCCAGGGAAGCCCTGCACCATCAGGTGAGGACTCATTACCCATCGCGTAGTCCAATTCTGTGATGTGATAGGTAGGCTAGGGTGAATGTGTGCTTTTTTCCACCAGTATACTGTGGAAAAGTGCAGAAAGCAAGCCACAAACTTCAGGAAGGTATTTTATGCAAGAGCTCATTTCCATTCCCTTTTCCTCTACCCAAAGCTCACTTTTTGTGCACAGGAATAATAGTAACCACGTTGTAAAAAAAAAAGAGAGAGAGATGATGCCTAAGCCGAACAGTGGTTTATCTGCTCCGATGATGAAGATGTAAACAACTCAGACTGCTAAGCCAGCTGTGTACTCTGAAGTGCTGGGTATGATCCAAAAGTGATGGGCCGTGAGTACTCATAGCAACAGTGTAGGAAAATGACTGTATTAGAACTCTTTCCTGTTTGTTCTTTTTTTCAGAGTGTCCTGCTAACTCTTTGAGAAAGCAGTTCACTTTTGGCACATGAGCGTCTGTTAGGGCTTTTCTACTTGTTCAGGTCATGGCGACACAGCTGCATCGGGATGAGGTGGAATTCTGCTATCACAGAACATTTCCAATCTGGCTTTGAATGATGTCTCTGTTATATACGAGACTTCTAAGTCAGTGACTGCAGGGAACCACACTTCTTCATCTATTTAGTGAAATAATTAAATATTGCTAAAATAATGTATATAAAGTTCTTGGCCAGTAGCAGGGGCTCAACTATGGTTATTACTATGTTTTCACTATACACATAATTCCATGCCACTTTACTTTTCAAAGTTGGACATTGAATTCCATAAAAATGATTCTATGCCCCCAGCAGATTCCTTGACATTCTTCATGTCATCAAGTCAATTTATTGAAATCTGAAAAAAGCACTTTGTCCTTCTCAAGAAAATGAGCATCCTGAGTTTTCCAGGACATTAGCTTGAACTAAATTGTTTTGATGTTGCTTGCATCCAGTCAGAAGCATTGACACATTCCTGCAAATTGATTTTAGATTTTAAGTTTCAAGGGCTATTTAGTTTACTTTATCAAAACATAATGAATACATAGCACGTACATGAAGGTCAAAGGTTGAGATGACAACCACCACCACCACCACAAGGACCTGGTTCCACCTCCTGAGTCCTGGTGTTTCTAGTTAAGGGAACTACAGCGCAGCGTGAGTTCCATGGCGGAGGCAGTTCCTGGAAACAGAGATAGTGGAGCTTTTCATTCCCTGTGGGATGGGCGAGTTTTTGAGAAAAATTATAGACAGGTGACATTTTATCAGCTTTTAAAGACTGACCAGGAATGTCTTATTTGGCTATAATAGAAGAGTATTCCTGGTGGAAGGAATAGCTAGAACAAGAGAAGAAAGGACTGATAACTCATAGCTATTTACAAAGTGGCTGTGGACCTGGTCTGTATGTTTTTGGATGGGGTGTATGGCAAGGGCATTCTTCAAATAGAGAGTTTTTTTGTAAAACTGAAATATTACTTTCCGAATCTCAATGATCTTATTTTTTCTTTGTTGCATAGCATGAGAAGATTCATGATATCCCCTGGCTGGATTGTGTGTGTGTGTGTGTGTGTGTGTGTGTGTGTGTGTGTGTGTGATATCTTTAAACTTATTTGGACTTTTTTTCAAATAAAAGAGTATTATTCCTTTGCTTTTCCTATGATTTAAAAAACAATCACTGCAGTGTGCTACTATACTTCAATTAAGGTAGATGTAAATTTTATAAGCCATATTTCACAAAGGCAATATAAATTGTACAAAAATAATAAATAAGATCTAGAAAACATCTACTGATCTTGACTCATATAGAAGTGTACACAAGCAAACTTGTAAAAGGCTGTCTACCTAAATAACGTGTGACTGATAATATCACATTATACACTAAAGAAGCATTCTCTCTGCTCACTTTGTAAGAGTTGTCTGGGTAAACCTGACTGTTCTTCCTCACATGGCGAAGCACTAAATCGGCAGGTGGATGCACGGAGCCATTCAACAGTCATATTGTGGGGGTGAAGACACTCTTAAACAAAACGTGCTGGAAGTTCTCTGCCATTTTCTTTGAGTATATTCGCTGGATGAAACATCTTCATGCTTCAGAACAGGGCTATGTGTATGTGCTCAGTAATTCAAACACTTTCAATGATTTGTATCAGACTTGAACTGGAATGTATTATCTATGCATACATGATGCTATTATTGCAACAGGAATATTACAATTTAACAAATAGTGAGTGCTGAACTGTCTGTATCCTGGCTCTCCTGTGTGACCATATCAAGTATTGTAGAAGCACTGAGCTGGAATTACAGGGAGCTGAGTCTGGCAGGGGGTGTAGCTCTTCATTGTGTGAAACAAACTGGGCTGCAGGGAGGTTCAGCCTAGAGTTTTGACCTTTTTGTGTTCTTTCTTTATTCACATGAGGTATCATACACAGAGGCATTTGTGTAACTGAGTGTGTGTGTGTGTGTGTGTGTTATAGCCTGCTCCATTCTAAAAATACTTGGAGGTTGTTTGAGTTATATGTGTAAAGCAGAACAATCTACTGTATTCTGTTAAGTTAATTGAGCAAGGGGGCCAGTGGACTGAGACGGCTCCAAGGCAGCGGCAGCCTATGGAAGCAAACCCAAGTCTCAGCCTGTAAATGCATTGAAGTTATGAAATCAAAACCTAAAGACCACCAGTCACAAACAGCCAACTAGGTTTGAGGCTCTATCCATCAATAATCTCCTGACTTTGCTTCCCTGTTTTCTCTATAAAAGTCTGCCTGATCACTTTGTAAGTTATATAAATGTCTAATTACTATGTTGTACACGTGAAACTCATATAATGTCATTATGTCCACTGTAATTGAAAAAAAATTTTAATTTAAAAGTCTCTCCTGAGTTCCTGTCATTGGAACTCCTAATCACTGCCGGTTTGGCACCACCCAAATGCAGTCAATAAATGGTCAAAGAAACATTTAAAATGGTTTGTATGCCTCAGTTTGTCTTTTAACAGTTCAGTATGTTTAAAAATGTAAAATTCTCAGAAAAATTTAAAAGTTAAGAGTCCTCTCTGTTTCCTCCATTAGATGTTAAGAAGAAGGCTGGCTTTATCACTCCGGTGCCGGGGGGTGTGGGGCCCATGACGGTGGCGATGCTTCTGAAGAACACCCTCCTGGCCGCTCAGAGAGCCGTTTACTAGACCACAGGGAAGAACACAGCAAGTGGAAGTTATGCTGTTTATTTATTTGTCAAAGGGGAAAAAACCTTTATATTTTACTACAAAGCTATTTATTTCTGCATTATTTATTTTTTCATGGATGGAATCATTGTGGATGAGAGGATTCATGTAACTTTATACATTTCCTGCTAACAGATTTTGAGTTTTAGGGGAAAAAAAACAATTCCAATGAAAACTTTGGTAATAGTTGTTTACTTTGTGAATAATATTTGTTCATAATGTTAAAACCAGTAAAGGGCTCATAATAATATATTTTTGACACAATTAAATATTACACACTGTATGTTTTCAACAAATGTTTGTCAGCCAAATGGGCACCCATGTAAAATGTAATTTATGTTTTACCATAAACATACTCCATTTTTATATATTTTATGTTCTATACATATACTTAAGAAGAACTAACTTGCTAAAAGAAAGATAAAATATAAAAAATTAAAATCTTGATCTTATGTGTCCCCCAAATTTATCCCATGAGGCATCCTAATAAGAAATGATGTTCCATTCAAGGAAAGAAAAATATATAAGGAAGACAAAAAATACAGTACTGCATAGTGATTATTTAAAATTATAAAGGACTACTTATCATCATAAAAATGTAATAAGAATGTATTAGGTTTACATGTAATTTTTTTTTTGTTCTATAATACAATGTGGATAGTTCTTTGAGGAATATTGGAAATTTCAAAGCAAACAAATACATAAAACAAAACTAAGGTAGCCTTTTCCTACAACTATCAGGAAAATATATGACATAGTATGAGTGAGTCCTTTTTTAAAGAATTGTTATGTTTTTTAAAAAATTTGAAAATCTAATGGGAAAACACACTTATGATGCTCCAATACTAAACATGAAGATATGACTAAAAATCCACTGTTGTTCTTGCCCACAGTTCTTCCCTCTTCTCTTATAGCATTTGGTTCTCAAAGTAGATGCCTTGTTTCTAACACAATTTATATTAAGAAATACATGTGACTCTCAGTTGAAGGGTATTTTGAAATGGCTCTAGCTACATAAATATATTGTTTTCATACCTAAATCCCAGTATATGTATGTACCAATAATGATTCTTACCCAATGCATGTCTTTAACAGTCTGTATGCTTTATCATTTATGTGAAAATAGACTAGATGTTTATGATTAATAGCATTTCAACTGTATAATAAAAGCAATTTGAATAAGAATACCTGTCTTGTTTTTTCCTTAAGATATCTGTAAGTTTCTTTGTTTATATGCTTGTACCTATTACAGTATGCTGGGAAATGTATACATTTTTCAAACATGAAAGAAAAGGTTCTATAGCCCATCCCACAGTCAGCCAGGGGTGTCCAACCCTTTGGTGTCTCTGGGCCACACTGGAAAAAAAGAGTTGTCTTGGGCCACACATTAAATACACAAACACTTAACAAAAACTGATGAGGAAAAATAAAAGGTTTTAAGTAAATTTACGATTTTGTGTTGGGACGCATTCATAACCATCCTGGGCCATATGCGGCCCACAGGCCACGGGCTGGACACCCCCAGTAGACCATCTTTGTCTGATAACCCCAACAGAAGTGTAAGTTCAAAACTCCCAAACAAACATTTCAGAAAAGTCCTCTTTAATTTTTAAGGGCCATAAATTCCCAAAACAAACAAAATGAACCAAAATGCATACACACAGAAAAGGTGGTCTGTCCTTTGAGCCCACCCTGCTCCCCTCCCAAAATGCAGGAGGGAGAGGTTGTTCATTATAGTATAGGTTTCTGCTCCTTTGCTAGGCTAAAATTCAAGAGCAAGTCTTTCTAAAAAGTAACTAAAACAATGTAAAAGAAAAATTATTTTAACATTTGTTAAAAATGGTAAAAAATACTAATTCAAGATTATTGCAATAGAATCAAGACTACTGCAATAGAAAAGATTGAACTCAACTCCCAATACAGCAAAGACAGTTGAGGATTTATAGCCACTGAGCAGAGTCAGTGGGTCAGTGGATGGAAGATTACTAAGAGGAACTTGATTAGATATCAAGGGTAGGGTGATTCTTGCTAAACTATTTTACTACAATTCTTGCTAAAAAGCAGGCCAATGACTTATGATATCAAGGGTGGGGAATGGGAAACTTGATCTGATATGGGATGGGGGTCCATCAACTGACTTAGCTGGATTCTTTTCTAAAAGGAGGCTGAGCAGGCCGAGTTGAGACTATTCAAGAAGAGGACTCACAGGAACTTGACTAGGGTTTGGTCAAGGAGGAAGCCTTTTTCAACACATAAAGGAGATAAAGTTGGTTTGTTGGTATCATGACTTTATTTACAAATATTTGCAGTCCATAAAATGTAGACATGATAACCTTGTGCAGGAGCTTTGGAAAAGTAAACTTGCTTCTCCTAAAAGTATCTGTAAAAAGGATCCTACAGAATGAATGGACCCTGAACAATAATACAAAGATACGGAGGTGAGAGTGAGTTTAGTAAATGTGAAAGCAACGGTTACAGTCACACTAAAATGAAGAGTGTGTGGAAATACAACTGGCTAAATATGTGGAAATAGATTAGGGAAAGCTTGAATAAATTAAACAAACCAAATGGAGTGAGTTATGAGAACTGTAATTAGAGCCTGGGAAATGTTTTCACTGATTAACAAAATGAAGTTAAGGGGAGATGATTTTGGATAAAAGATAATATGTTCAGTTTAAGATATGTTGAGTTTGAGGTGATGACAATATATAAATAAAAGCCCTGATATAATAGTAGTCTAGAAAGAGAAAAGGGATTATGGTTAATGATGGAAATTTAGGACTCACCAGCACGTATTAACCACTAAATTCCTTGTCTTTTTTAAAAATATATTTTATTTTATTTTTCTATTTTAATTGTTGTTCAAGTACAGCTTTCTGCCCTTTACTCCCATCCCAACCCACCCCCCCGAGCCCTCCTCACCACCCTCCCATTCCGCCCCCCCCACTTATTTTTGTCCGTGTGTCCTTTATACTTGTTCCTGTAAGCCCTTCCCCTTAAGACTAAACTTTCAGGGATCATTTCTATAGTTCGTTATTAAATTTCTTGTTTTATTGATGGTTATACACACCCTGTGTTCTCTACACTCATTCACTAGTTACAGTTATCCTTAAGTGAGGGCCTATCAGCTACTAAATGCTTTACTTTCTTTTTGTTATTGACAATCCCCATTTGATATATGAGAAAATTTACTTTTGGGGTGATTAAAATTTCATCCAAGGCCAAAAAGGTAATGAAGGTGGCACTGGAATTCAGAACAAGTCTGTTGGGATGATGGGAGCCAGAACCCACTCTCTTTTCACTACACCATTTTGGTGGCCCCTCCCCCACCAAAAATCCTTTCTCTTATCACTCTATGTCTAATTTCTACTTGTTATTTAGGATTCTCTTCAAATGAAACATATGGAAACTGCCATGAGAGTTTAAGTTCCACCCCTGAACTCACATAGTTATGCATACAGACATAGAAGTTATTAGTTCCTACTCAGAACTGTAGTTATATAAGTATTTTCCTTATCTCCCTTTAGTTCCTTCCATCCACACATGATTTGTCTATTCATCCTGCAAACATCATAACACTTAGCTCAGTGTCATGAATGATGCAGGCTTTCAACACTTTATAAATGAATAAATAAGTGAATGACAACTGAATCCTTAAGAATTACAAAATAAGTTTAGAGAGATTTAAGCAAAGGACTGATGACCATTTCCTGACAATATCCAGCAACAAATTTTGGTTGAATTAGTGAAACAGCAAGAAAAAAAAGAAAGGAAAGGAAGTAAGTAAAGAGAAGAAGAAAGAGGAAAGGGAGGGGAGGGGAGGGGAGGGGAGGGGAGGGAGGGAGGGAGGGGAGGGAGGGGGAGGGAGGGGAGGGGGGAAGAAGAATGAAGACACTTGCAGAGATGCTGATAACTAGAGAAGTGAGATGAATAAATTAAGAAGACCGGAGAAATGGTGGGAGAGAAAAATGATGGTAGAGTGTTGTACTCTTAGCCTTCTCCTTTCTGCAACCTTCTCTAACGTATATCAAGAACGAATAAAAATATCAATGAGGCTACCTTACAAAACCCATCTCTCCCATTCTTCTGGGTTGGGGAAAGGACTGCCTGATGAGAGGACTGAAGAAGTGAAGGTAGGAGTCTCTCCCACCGAGAATTTAAGTGGGATTCATCACTATGAGTTCTAGAGGAAAAGAAGCATGTGGGATGACTGAGAGCAATTTTCTTCTATAAACCGTAAGCTGAAGTTTCTTTATTGTGTGGCCCAGCTCACCAGAAGAGGGAACCATCTGGAGAGACAACAATCCATTTCTTTAAGCCCAAATGTGTGCAAAAGACACAGTTCATTTGATATTTAGACTCTAAGGATAAACATAATTTATTTACAGCTTGATTTTAGGAGATAACTAAGAGAATTCTTCTGAGAGCGGTGTGCCACCTCCTACCAAATGACACAGGCGGGGGATGGAAAGGGCATGTGTCTGGATATTAACCACGGGTTCAAGTGCTGGCTCTGGGGCCTGTCCTTTGGCAAGTCACTTACCTCTTTTGAGCCTTCATTCCTTATTTGTCATATGAGAGTGAAAATAAAGCCTGTCATTAATTTCTTTTAACTTAAGACAGATTACTGAGTAAATACAATACAACAGGTGCTGGAATTGTTGGGGCCAGGATTACTGAAGAAAGAATTGAGATGTGCATGAAAATCTCTTGTAAAATGTTAAGCACTCTTGTTATCGGACAGGGGCCTGCCCCTGAGAAGGTCTGCCTAGGGCCAGCTGGTAGTGTTTGGGTTCTTAACTTTATGTAGGAAAGATTTCACAACTTGAGCCCAAATGACTTATGATGGTACATTTATTAAAGCAACAGGGAAGGGCTTAACATCAAACAAGTGACAGGAGAGAGCCTAGGCTGGGCTGCCTTAGCTCACTGAGAAGTCAGAGAAAAGGGGGCCTTGGGTGCAGGTTCAGGGAGTTAGCCTGGCGTGAGCTGCAGCTGCCCATTTGCTCCCCTGGTTGCAAATATTGTGGGGACCCTTAGAGTCCAGGAGGGGGAAGGGTTGTGTGCCTATGGGGAACAAGAGGGGAAAGAAGAGGGGGCAAGGAAAAGTGAGGGCTGCCTCCCAGAAGGAGAGAATGCAGTGGGTCCTTTGTCTTGAGGCTCTTACTTTTCCCTTGCAGGTGGGAATTTTAGGGGAAGTCTCAGGGGAGGGTTTCAGCAGAATTATCAGTTTTCTAGGTGTGCTTTTTCAGGGTCTTGGCCTCCAATGACTGGTCAGTGCTGGGGCGGAAAGTCCTTAGTCATTGCAGCTGGGCCAGGTGTCACCTCCCTGGTTTTGTTGTCTTTCTGGGCCTGGAGCTGAAATACAACTGAGGCCTACATGCTGTCTCTAGGGAGGTGACCTTCTGTAGCTGGCTGTGAATTGCTTGCTCATTTTGCTCAGCTGTTTCAGTTTCTCTGTTCCACTTGTCCCGGCTTACTGGCCTGTCTCATTATGAAAGCACCAATTAATAATTATTACAAAGATGGTTGTTGTATTTCCATGCACCAGTCTTAGAAATAAAGATATTTGACATTAGTCCTAGCTTTCTCCTCTAAGAACTGCAATGGGTTGTGAGGGTGTATTTTATCCTTTGTAAATGATTCCTTAGATTCTCACCAATGGTGCGGAAGATGATTTGACTTATAATTCAAATATTATTTGCTTGGGAGAAATATCATTCGGGAATTATTCTACTAAATAGTTTTAAAAATTCCACATAAGTAGAAAACAAAATGTAGGCACATTTAAAGTGAGCCAAGTACTATATATTCTCTTAAACTTAAAACAGCGAAGCCTGTGGTAAGTGATTGCCCAAGTTATAATGAGTCCAACAAGCTCATTCTTGTGTGATTTCTAAAGCCAAATTCATATCTGAATAGTAATAGGGATACTTTCTGGTAAATTGAATTTGCTGGGTGGACATGATGCAAATGATAACCTATCTTGACATAAATAACTTTTTAGGGTACAGAAAACATGAGCAATTGAAATTCCCGAGAGAAAGTCACACCTCCTCTGCAGAACATATTTATAAATTATTCATAATGATTTGGGCAAGTGAAAATTTATGGGAAGCTCTTTATAGTCACAATATGTAGTAGTAATAATTATATGTTTTAACTTTTAAAATGACACTGTAATAATCATAACTATATTAACAGTGAGGAAAATTTGAATGTTGTGTTAATTTTAAAACTTTCTATTCATTGGATATACCAAACCTAAATATTTTAATTTTATCTCAGTGGAAATTATTTACTTATTATTATTACTATTATTATTATTATTTTGGTGCCTTTCTGGTTCTCTCTAGCCTACTCATTGGGGTGCAAATTTAAGCACTGTAGTTCCTAGAACTTGGTTTCCCATTCCATTTACTCAAAAAAATATTAAGTGGCAGAATACATAATGGTAAATATTATACATTTAAAATAATTATTTTTAAAGAAACTATAATAAAAAACTAAGTAGCAAAAATAAAAATGGAATATTAAACCTTTGTTTTTGTACAAATTGAATTGTTCTTCCATGCCACTAACTTACAAAATATCTTGATTTGCAGTGAAACCCAGTCTGTACTGAAAGGCAATGTAACTGACCGCAGATTCAGGAATATTTCTTTTATTCACAGGTTATGCTGTTTCCTGGTTTGCAAATATCAAAACTCCCTTTGCTGGAATCTGAGAGAGTTGCTAGGAATTTTGGAGCTGGTACAATCATATTTACACCAATGGGGCCATGCCTGACTTCAGACTCTTTTTTGTTGTTTTAAGCTTTTTTACTTCTCTGTATCATGTCCACAGGTAACAGGAAATCAGTGTTTCAAAGGAAAATGCGATCACATTGCAAGATAACACATATATCCTAACCGAGAGTGTGAGCGCCCCGAGGCTTGATGCTGCTGCCAAAAGTACATATTTTTTTGATTGGTAACTGCCAGATGACGCTTCATCAAATATAAATGCAAGAAAGACTCAGAGAGCACCATAAAAACCTTCTACCAGTCAGTCTGGGAGGATAAGAGCAAGATCCTGTTAAGAAGGGCAGGAGATGGCTTTCGGAGTTTCAGTATTAGCCTTTCTCTTATTCAATGGTAGGTCATTTCTTTTTGTTTTGTTAATTTTGTATCAGTGTAGAATGTGAATAAGATGTGTTTTCTCTGAATTAGTGAGAAGCTGGTTTTTAATAGTTGTTCTTCATGACAAAGATTAGAGCAGGGAATCTGTGAATTAGTTTAGTTTCTTAGGTAATATATGTTACTCTCCTAATATATTGTGACAACTTTTTTTTTAAGATCTTTAAAATATTTACTTTATAAAACCGAAGAGTAGTTAATACATTTTAACTACTATGAGTATATCACAGCATCCTTGTGATTAAATCAGTATATAAATATTTTCTCTTAAATATTACTGTGTTTCTATTTTCTATAATGGACTAGGTATAAACGAGAAACTCAGGAAATTGCTGTAGTCAGTTTATGGATCTCAAATGTAAATGAATTAAAAATCAAACACAAATGGGAATAAATAGAATAACTTTTTATCTGTTGCTTATACATAGAAGGAGGCTCACCCGCTAAAGATGCTTTCTTCCTCTTCATCCAGCAATGGCAGCATTAACAGAAGAGGTGGCCTTGAACGGAACACCTGGAATCACAACCCAGGCAAGTGACTGGACAGTTAACAAAACAAAAGGTATTTTCTTTGCACTTTTGTATTTCAAGTGACTTATTTTTAATTGTTGATAGAAATTTGGGTTGTGATAAGAGAAACACTGGAAATCTTTAATATATATATTATGATTAGAGAATCAACTTTTAGTTGGAAGTAACAGGTAAATGGGGTCTGCAAAGAGTTGGCGTTTTAAAGGGAGGAAGTGGAGCAAATGATAGAATTTTCTGCCTGATTCCTGCTTGCTTCCCCATATCCCACACATGTCCAGAGGCAGACTGTCACCATTTGGGCATCATGTTTTGATCTGTGACTATGAGCTTTGCAACCAAAGAAGTTATGGCTACAAGAGGAAACCTTAATTAATATCCTCTCATCTTTGGAAATATCTTTTTCTTGTTTCTTTTGGGGGGTTTATGTTGTTGTTCTAGTATAGGCTATATTTCCTAACTACTCTACCCAATTTTTAATGGTGATAATAGGTTTTCTTCATTACATTATTATTTTTATTTGAGTAGCTTCCTGCTGCTGTTGAGCATCAGCATATTTTCAAACTTGTTTGAACTCTTAGAGATGAACTTGGAAAGCTTGTTGTTACCTGCCAAGACCTGTGTACTGGGCTATAATTCTCATGCAAATCATACACTGCCCCCTGATGTGGAGACTGGTGATGTGACATAGGTTGGAAGAAATGCCTTATCTTGGTCTCAGAGCCAGACAAATAAAACAAGATCAAGTCAAATATTTTCTTAATATGAAAGATAGTAATAATTAAGAATTCTTCATTTTGCCAAAAATTTTAAATTTTAAAAAAGGTATTCAAAATATTTTTGCCCATTTGAGTGTTTTAATATCTATCAATTTGCAAGCCAAAATCAGTGTAGGGTTTAGAGTAACTTTGATGTCTTCATGTGTTCTGAGCCTTTGAACAAAAAGGAGAAGAAATAACTTCATTAGAAGTTAATACTGCAGAAAATTAAAGTACATGTGCTCTCAGTGACTGAGTTCATAGCAGCATGCCCAGACCACCTCTGTTCTTCCTTAATAGGGAGCTGCAAGTAACATTCTCCAAGTCACAGGTGTTAATAATGGGAAAAAGCAATTGAATATACCATCTCTCTTGTTTTCCCTTGCTTTCTTGTTGGGAAACTTAAGTTTTTCCTTGCTACTTATATAACTTAAAGTCTGAATCCAGTATTTTAGGAAATTTTAAAATATTATATATAACTAATATTCTTCTTAGGGGAAAGATGAATCTCTGTAGCATACCCTTTCTTTGGGAATGTCTTCTTTCAGTTCTTACATTTTCTAGCAAATCTTAATTTGCTCGCATCTTAAAGCAGAAAGAACCTAACCTAGTTTATAATGCAAACTTCTCACTGCTTTCAGAATTAATTATTAAAATGAGAAATTAGATTCATGACCCCACATTCAACAAAACGAACGTGAATTTTAAGATACGGTGGGTTCTCAATCAAAAGGGAGTTCTACAATGCAGGATCTTGTTGGTGCCTTGGTACTTAGAGACTTAGTATTTTCAATATAAAAAACTTTGCCTTTTTGGATGTGAACAAATAAATGGGAGTTTTTAATCTCAGCGACACGAATATCATGTAACATAATAACTAAGGATGAGAGATATTCATGACATATTTATTCACAACAATGACAAAATGCCATAAAATGCCACAATCTATTTGAGAAAAATTTAAGTATCATCAATTAAAGTGTACCAAAGAGGACTCAGTTATACAGTGTTGTCGTTGTCATTCCCACTGCATAACCCCCAAGGATGATAGAGGTATATGCCCATTGTACATCAGGAATGAAGCGTACGCATCCTGAAATGCGTACATTTTGCCACAACACTGCTTCCCAAAGGGAAGCTTCCCATAAAGAGGCGTCTGGACACGTGAACATAAAAGTTCTGTCAAGTGTGGTGACTTGCATAGTATAAGAGCTAGAAATCAAAACCCAGGTGTTTAAATTCCAATTCCAAGGCTTTTCCCACTATTTCATAATGTCTTTTAAACAAGTGAAATTTCTAAATGATATTTGAAAGTATTGGCTTAACCATGTTAAGCCTGAGCCATAAGTTGTTTCTGGCTTCTTGTATAGGTCATAACCATCCCTCTTCTGAAATCAGGTAGGGAAAAATATTCCCTTTTCAATTAGCTGCTTGTGGTAGTCCACACAGGAGGGAATTCTCATCTCTCTCTGTCCTCTGGGAGAAGAGATGAGAAGTAAGTTTACTATATCCCACTTATAAATCCAAGTCTTCCTAAAGTGCTGACTCCTTAGGTGTGAAGGGGGGAATGAAAAAATTGTGTGAGATGTTTTTAATACTTATTAGCATTCAGGCATACATTTGGGAATCCTTGCTCAAGGTAGCTTGCTAAAACTGTATTTGATGCTGCCACGTTTTGGCAAACTTGTCTCGTATAGCTTACTATATGTAGCTTCTAAAGAAGGGAACAATCATCAGTTTACCTCCACCCTCTAATTAATTAATGATATGCCTAGGTACTCTTAACCTAACCTTTGTGAATATAGCCTGCCAAGGGAATGAATCAGTACTTCTATGGACAGTGCACTCAAAGAACATTCTTACAATTAAAGGTCCCTTTAACATATTACAAATCTGTTACAAAAATATGAGCCACTCATCTGTTAATATTGTTTCTCCTTTTCCTATCTGACTCCCTAGAAGGACCTATAGCCTTGAAGCTCTCTCATTCTTGCCTGGAAGACCACAACAGTTACTGCATCAATGGTGCATGTGCCTTCCATCATGAGTTGAAGGAAGCCATCTGCAGGTATCTGCAAAGAGCTTTCCAGTCCTGGAGACAGGAGCAGGCGAATGCGTGCCTCTGGTGTTCCACATAGCACATTTCCACACACCTCTATTTTGTGAAGCAAAGAGGGTACATGATCTGGTCATGACTCAGCAATCCTCTTTGTAGTTGAGTATCTAAGGAGTCTTTTTCTAAGCTACCTAATCCGCATTACTCAAAAATATGGTTCCCAGATTAGCAGCATCTGTGTTACCTGGGAGCTTGTTAGGAATGCAGAAGCTTATGCTCCACTTCAAAACTACCAAATCCATGTCAGCATTTTAACATCATGCAAATATGATTATAAGATGAAACAAAACAGGTTATGGTAAAAACACTTCAAGGATATAAACTTCTAGAGTAACTAAGGTACTGTTTTCATGATCGTTGATTTGCTCAGTATCCTCCTATGAAAGAGTAAATAACCTTCCAGATCAAGGCATTCAAGCACATGCGCTACCTTCCCTCTCTACTAATAAGGAAAGTTGCATTGATATGGAGCCTTAATGAATGATTATTACAAAACACATAGCTTTTTCAATACTGTAACAGATTGGCTTTCATTTGGCATTTGGCCCTTTAATTTAAATTGCATAATTTCCATTGAAATAGTGTCATTCTTGGAAATTAGTCTTTTCTTTGTATTTCTATCATCATGAGTTTTAAAATTATTCATTTTCTTTTTGTGAAGGTGTTTTACTGGTTATACTGGAGAAAGGTGTGAGCATTTGACGTTAACTTCCTATGCTGTGGATTCTTATGAAAAATACATTGCAATTGGGATTGGCGTTGGATTATTATTAAGTGGTTTTCTTGCTATTTTTTACTGCTACATAAGAAAGAGGTATGGAAAATACAAAATATAACATCACAGGGTAGTTGTTCATTTGAAAAATATTTATTGAGCCCCTACACTGTATTAGGCATTGACATGTATAGTTTTAAAGTGAAAATATGGCTACAAATCTGGCAAACTCCTACATATTTGTTCTGATATTTTTCTCATAAACCTAAACAAGCAGTAAAAATTTACCTATAGTTGCGATAATCTCCAATTTGCAATTTCCCTCCGTCTTCACCCCTGTCTGCCTATATATAAATGAGGAGGACAGTAGGCCCCACAAGGGTGGAGGTTAAGTGTCTCTCATTCACAATTATGTATTCAGTGCCAAATACTATGCCTGGCACACAATAGACACTCAGTAAATATTTGATAAATGAAGAAATCAAGAAATGAGTATTAAATGAATGAAAATGTGTGACAAACACGGACCATTTACTTCACAACAATCAACTGAGGGTATATTCCCCAGGTACTATCTACTGCTAGAAGTTCAAGAAGATAAGCTTAGTCCATTAAATATAAAGTACTTGTGTATTAATTCTTATTTCTGATGTATCTACACTGGCCAATCTTTTCCTTAAATCCATATAGCTAGGAAAAATCAAGAAGTAATGTGAGATAAATTAAAGAAAAGTATAAATATATTTCCCTTGCTATACTCTATTAACTAAGTTGTCATTTTTAAAAATGGCCAAGATTGTCGAAGTAAGAAAAATTTTGGGTGCTTAATAATTATATCTTAGAGAGAATAAAATCCGTTATAGCAAGTACAGATTAATTGATATAAAATCTGTTATATCAATTGATATTATTAGGTCAATTTCTTAAGAAAACAGAAAGTAAAGAAAAAATAGTAGACCTTTTACTGTTAAAAAGACAGTTATCTGCCCTGACCAGTATGGCTTATTTGGTTGGAGCATCATCGGTAAACCAGAAAGGTCACTGGTTTGACTCCCAGTCAAGGCACATACCTGGGTTGCAGGTTCAATCCTCGGTTGGGGCACGTGCAAGAGGCAACCAATCAGTGTTTCTCTCTAACATCCTCACGTCGACATTTCTTCCCCCCATTCTCCCCTTCCCTCCCCCCTCTCTAAAAATCTATAAGCATGCCCTCTGGCAAGGATTAAAAAAAAAGGCAGCTATCTGAGGTCAGGTTCCCTAGAAGCAGAACATAAAACAAAGATTATTATGCAAGTGTTTGGTGAAGGGACACCCTGGGATGAAACCTGTAATGAAGTAAGGAACACTAGATCAGAAGAAAAAGGTAAGAAAAGGTGTGGCATTAGCTGAAGTGGAGCTTCATCTACCTGATTCCCACAGTCGATCTTGAACATGAATGGCATTACAGACCTAACCCCTAAAACATGAGGGATCTTGGTTTCGTGCCCTGGGTCATCAAGCACGGGTCTCAGGATTGTTCCTGGCAGGGTAGTGGGCACAGGCCAGGAATCTCCCAGGAATCATCAGGCAAATTTCTCTGTTGTCCCAGGGCAGTGCTCTGGGGAAGGATGCTGCTATGGGCCTGGTAACACCCATAACCGCTGAGATTGGATCTACCATTGAGTAAAAGGGACCTGGGGCACCAACAACAACTGCTACACAAGAATGTGTATATAATGCTCGATATGCTATACAAATAGCAAATTCATATGAAAATCAATACTCTGTTTCAGGTGTCCAAAATTGAAATCCCCCTATGACGTCTCTTCCAGAGGAAGACCACTGTGAGACCTTCATAAGAAATTTTTCTGCGGCATATGTAAAAATGAGTGGATCTAAAATTAAAATTTTCAAATGAAGCAACTAAACTTCCCAAGCTGACTAGACTTGAAAATAATGAAAGTTGGGATCATGATGCAATGAGAATAAATTTCAACATTGTTCTTCAGACTTTGTCATTATTATGGTGCCGTCATGGGAGCCCATGGAACAAGCATACAGTGACAGAAGTCAAGTTCTACTTAGTAGTACTACTCTACTACATAGTACTACTCCGGGCCTATTGCTGTTGTGGTATGGCTGTTGTTCGTAGTGCAGAGAAACTGAGTTTCATGTTTCTGACCATGTCAGATATGAGTTTTCATGGGAATAACTGTTAACCTTGCAGCAAGCTAAAGCGATGCCAAGCTTGGGTTCTTCATGTGCTTGCTACCAGCAGTTTGGACCACACCTCTCAACAGACCCAATCCCAAACATGCTGCTTTCATAGTATCTAAAAGAATGTGATACCAACTCTTTGGATGAGATCAGTGTTTAGCACCTTCAGTGAACCAAATATGTGCCTGGAGTCCAAGTCAGAGACAAGAAAATGGAATTCCGAGGCAAACATACATCATACCAGCTTGTGACAACACCATGGGGCCTTTATCTGTGAAATATGGAATAAGCTAAAGAACTGTTGATGACTGAAAGCTCTATGGATATGGAGCCCTGAGTAGGCAGAACATTTCTGTTCTCTGCATGGGTTATAAAACGTTGTGTTCGACTCTTCGGTCCCCTAATGTTTATGTGTTCATCACTTCCTCCTCTTGTTAGTGGAGTTATCTGGTGACTATCCATTTGGACTGAAATTCTAAAATTCTACTAATAAGTGAAATTCTGCAAATGACCCCAAAAAAGAAACAAAAATTGGACCCAGGAATTTTTTTCATCAGCCAACAGCATGTGGAAACTTCCGTTACCATTTCTGAATGCTTAATAGCAGATTGCACATAGGGAGAGAAAATGGGACAATGGTAGAAATAACTATATCGGAATTAGGGCCCTTTGTCTTCAATCATATTTCTTCTGTGTAATTAGAATAATCTTGGGCTGGATGGTTGATATCTTTAGGCTTTGGTTTCATTTTCTACAAGGCCCTTCCAGCTCTAAACTTTGGCGGTAGGAGAAGAAAGCAATTTTTCCTTACCTGTGCTGAAAGTGGGACATTCTCAACCCCTACCTCTGGATCCAAAACACACCACTGGCTGCCATGTTTGGTGCATATTTTAGTGTTTGATTGTAAAATAATGATTTAAAATTTGTTTTTAAAGGAAGCAAGACATAAAATTAAAAAATAGTATCTACAATTCTTTTATATTCAGTCTAAAACTCTGGACTTTTTTCATGGTGATGCTGATAAGCAAAACAATTTTGATCATGAGATGGGTGAAAATAGGATCAAAACGAACATTCTTACAATTGCCTCAGAACAGGCCTTTTGTTGTATTAAATTATGACTTTTCATTCACTGTTAAACAAAACTGTACATTCTGCTTTCCTTTGAGTAGAAGGTATTTTACTTGCTTTGTTTTGCCTTCAGAAGGAATTTAAGGTGGACGAGTTGCGTGTCAGTGCTTCCTGCCTGTCTTCACAAAGTATGTAAAGGTTACATCACACCAAGGAGTGGGGAGGCAAAGGTTCCTCCCAGTGACTCCAGCGACCACACCTAGAAAGCTACGCTCTCTATGAGCATTTCACAAAGGTGTTAAAAAGCTGGGGAGAGTCCAGGAAGAAACAATAAAGCTTAATGAAGGACTGCCTCCTGATGAAAGAGAAATTAATGCCGGAGTCTGAAGAGGCAATAACCTAAAAAGTTATACATATTTCTCAATTTTAAACACCATATAGTTGAAATTAAACAACATTAAGCAAAAAATTTAAATTTTCAGATTTGCAAACAGAAAAGCATGCCAAGACAAAAAACAACAGAGATGAAAATTTTTTCACCTGTGGAACAGTAGGCATTAACAGTATAGAATCCGCTCTGGGAGACGACAGGAAGGTAGAGCGTGGCTCCCGAGAAGCCATCTGTGTGTGGCCTTCACACCAATGTGTGGGGTCCTGTGACCCCACGGTCCCCGCAGCTAAATTTGGAGGAAGGCACCTCTGGCATTCTGATGGAGCTAGAGCCACATCTGGCAATGTTTATGTATGCAAGCAGGACTTTGGTGAAAAAAGGCATAAATACAAGATGTTCTGCCATTTTTTTCACTTTCTATTTTCTTCCTAGGTGCAATAAGACCCTGAAAGGAGTCTACCAGGGAAGCCTTTGCATCAGAACTGTATTTTCAGCTATCACTTTATGGATTATTAGGTGGGTGGATCCGTTCGGAAAAAACTGAGGACATGCTTTTGGCATTTTTGACAAAATCGAACTGGCCAAGGGGTTCATCAATGTCTTTCATTTCAATTGTGTCTTCTTCCTGAGTCTATCCTTTCTTTGAGAACACTTTTCAGAATATCCATATTCATGAGTTAGCATTTTGAAGTATGATGGCATGGGGGCAAATGTTGTAATTCCAGTCACACTTGAGCCAGTAAATTTATAAAAAGGGAATTATAGTTTTTTGTTATTGTATCTTCTTTCCCCAAATTAGTTTTTTTGGTATAATTATGTTTTCATAATGTTTGAAGTGAATGAAACAACAACATAATTTATCATTTAGTATTTCCTGGAACAATACAAATATAACCTTTTAATTTTGAAATGTCCCTTTTGTTGACATCAAGATGATTTCTATTCATTGTATGTAATTGAAAGAAGCCTTAAGAAAACCACAAGACAAACCCTAGCAATGTAAGCTTTCAATGTTGAACAGAAAAACAATCCCTCTCTGCAGAAGGCCATGAGCAAGCCCCCTAAATTTGTGAATTACACATGGTGACATGCTGTGTGCAGTGTAATGTGAATACTGATGTCCTGCAGCTCATGCTCAGGAAAAAGGTTACCAGCATGTCTGTTGCAAAATACCTCTCTGGCCCATCATGGCATCATGACATCAGGATACTAGCATCTGCCAAGATGAACTTGAAATGTTGAAATTTAATTTGTCAGAGTCTGGCACTGCTAATCTGGGTGAGTCCACATTTCTGTCCAAACCTTTGGCAAAGTTCTCTTCAGTAGCACATTCAGAAGCATGTTTTCCAAACTGAGCTCCAAATTTCTGTTAATTATTCAATCAACGAATGTACAGCTCAGAGTTAAAGAGCCTAAGCAAATAATTTCCTAAAAATTCAAAGGCTAGGCCCCTTGAGAATATCCACCTGAATAAATGTGTTCCCTCATTATATTTCACCTCTCTGCCAAAAATTAACATGATGGATGTTCCAGATTGTGGGTAACACCCCCAGCTTCCAAAAAGATATCTCATATAGATTAGGAATGTTATTAATGTGGTAAGGAGGAGAATTGAATCGTTTAGTTAGGACTTATCTATACTCCATGTCCTATCTTTGTAATTTGTATGTCTCAGATATTATTGGAACATAAATCATTTTGATTGACATTAGGTGGAGACCACAGTCAAACAAGTATCGAACTCACCATGCTTTTGATCTTTAAAAGGACGTTAATTGGGCCTCACATCTTTCTGAAAAGAATGGTATCTCTAGATTTTTTAAATCTCACAGGAAATATCAATTTATTAAGTCCCTTTACAGATCAAGATGAAGAAATTGTGTAATATAGCTACCATGTATGAGCACTTATGATGTTTGATAAACATTCTTAGCCTTATTTTAATTAATCCACACCTGTGTACAATTGAGGCATAGAGAAGGCAATTCACTTTTTTAAGGTGACATAGCCTTTAAGTGCAGAGCCTAGACCTGAACCAGGTAAATCTGATGCCAAGGTCTCTCATCAAAACTCTATATGGTAAGACTTTGTAATATTTTATAGAAAATATATGGGAGTAAAAGATAGGAAAATTATACTTGAACAATAATTAAAAAAAGAAAATATTAGTGTTGGAGTTACCATATTTTTCAGACCATAAGATGCACGTTTCCCCCCCCCCCCAAATTTGGGAGGAATAATGGTTGTTAATGCTGCTGCTGAGTTCTGTTTACATTTACATTGGTGAAATATTATGTTATTTATGTTATTAAATATTTTACCACAATTTTTGTTTCAAAATTTTTTTTTCTATTTTCCTCCTCTAAAACTTAGGTGGGTCTTATGGTCTGAAAAATACAGTAATTTCTTGATCACCTTGGAGCTCATATATATCCAAGTGATTTATATGCAATAGATAAACATATAAAACACTATAAAATTTATAAAATAATAAGTTTTGTCCTGGATCAACCACAAAAACTCCCTGCTGTCACCGGCAGATTATTAAGATATGCATACCATCCTCAGGGTGGGGCCAGAACGGGCCTCAAATACCTGCTGACATTTGAATGAACAGGCTGCAGAGACACTGTAGACTGGTTGATCCTCAGGACTCTGAGTACGAGAAGGTCAGCTGGGAATGTCTGACCCCTGCCCGAGAACAAGGGTTCTCTGGCACTGGTGTTACCCTAACTGGGACATGCCTGGCTCAGTTTGGTGATGGGGTGAGGAGTGGTTGTCACATCTACAGTAAAGTCTCATCAATGGCCTTTTTAATACATCACCCCCAATCTTACCCCTAGCCCCACATACATTAAGAAATCTGTGCAATGGATAAATACCTTAATGACTTGTGATCTTGTCTGGCTGTGTGATCATGTAACTTTGCTGGGACCCCTTGAACATGACATTGCTGTCTGTTAAGTGAAGTTAGACTCTAAAGATGAGCTCCACATTCCTTTCCGGGTTGGAAGTTGTATGTTAAAAATGTGCAGTGGTGGTGGGAAAATGGAGACAACTGTATTCAAACATCAGTAAAACAAAACAACAACAACAACAATAAAAGTGTAGTCTAGAAGGCAGATCCAGGCCACAGATGTATTTATTTTGGTTTCCATGGTGTTTGTTT